GCTGACCAGGACTCCCATGATGCATCAGTGTGTCTAAGTAACTCAAAGTGCTGACTATGTTCCCAAGTTTCATCTCCAGATCATCAACCTTAATTTCCATATGTTTCACTCTAGCCGAGCACTCCATCTTCAACTCATCGATCAGTCGCAACTTTTCAACCTCAGTTTTGTCCATCTTTTTCCTCAGATCAGCAAGGATTTCATCAGTTTTCGTGTTTATTTTTGCTTCTTCTTCTGCAAAACATGTGTTTAACTTCTCAGAAGCTGTCTTTGCTGATATTTTACTTGTCTCAACTTCGTCTGCTTTCACTTTTAACCTCTCGATCATCTCTTTCAATTCTTCAGCATACTCTTGTGCCGCATCTTTAATATATCTGTGTTGGTGTTCAGGAACTCTATGATCTATGATTGTACACTCCATACAAATAGGTGTCTTGCAAGTATCACAGTAGAATTTCAACTGGTTTTCTTTATGGTCACTGCAGTACTCTACTGGTTGTAAAGAAAACAGCTTCTCTTTAGCTGTTTTATATTCATCAATTGGTAACACATGATGAGACGCTGTTGATTTCGACCTTTGATGGGCTTTAGAGCAGAATTTACAGAGATACTCTTTGCATTCAATGCAAGTGAAAGAGACTTCATTTTCTTCACAGAGATCACACACCGTGGGTGTTACAGTCTCCACCTTCGAGGACACTTTGTCGAGAAGTGAGTTCATGAAAAAATTAGACTGAAGGTTGCTGATGGGTTCTTTTATTGGTTTGCTACATGTTGGGCAAATCAATAACATCTGTGCTTGCTTCTCAGTGAGTTGTACAAGGCATTTCTTGCAGAATGTATGATGGCATGGTAGTATCTTTGGTTCTGAATATCGCTCTAAACAAATAGCACAATACAAAAATTCTTCTCTAATCTCAGTTAGAATATCCTCAGTAATTAATACGTCGGAGGCAGCAGCAGCCATGGTTAATTAATTTTAGTTCAGGATCTGAAATAGAAATATACAAATTTACAATTAGAAATAATATTGTGTGCATAAATTATTAATATCCAATAAATTGAAAACCTGTGTTTTGAGATGTGAACACTGAACCTACATACTGAATAACTATATTAGGTAGTTTAAACTATATTGATTGGTGGTGTATGTCTTTGGTTGCTGTTGAACATGCCCCAATTTCCAAATAGAAAACGCTATAGATGTCCTAGAACATTCATTATGCAATGTGTAAATGAGTACATTGGGAAATGTGTAGTCATTGTTCTCATACAATTTACATACTGAAATTGCGACAAGTGTACCCATTTGCATAATGATAAACTTAAAAATGAAAAAAAAGCTTAGAAAGAACTCCCATGTGCTGAGAGTATTGGAGACACATTGTCACAGTGTAAGGCCTGCTTATCGCAATTGAGAGGGCCACCCACAGAACTCACACTGGACAGGGGTTCTTTCACTGCTAGTATGGGGTAGACAAGACAATAGTACTGGAAATGAAATACACATACACCAAAATATCAAGTTAAAGCTCCTGGCTTTAACACCTCTCAAAATAATTACAAGAAATAAAGCACAGAAAGATACAATGAATAAAGTCACTAAAATAGGGGATTGCTTGGGGAAGTGTGCCTTGGTGATAACTCACAGTTCCATATTATTGGACGACAGTCAATGGCTTCTGCAACACAACAACGGAGAAATACAGGAGTCTTGCTTGCAGAGGAACGCTGGTATTCTGGAGGGCACCACTGGAAGCAGGAGATCGCAGAGCAGTTCATACAAGTCTCACAGAATGATGGTTGTAGCCTGTAATATCGTATCGTAGCAGAACACACAGGAAAGCAAGTTGAAGTGACGGACACCAAGTTGAAATGATCAACCCCAAACTGTCCTCAGTCTGTCCAATTTATAGGCAGTGACACCACCTTGGTTTCCACATGGGCCAATCAGAATGTAGTCTTGCTAGCAGGTGCATCATGTCGGCAACTCAGTAGATCATAAACATCCTTTGTTATTCAAATAACAGCACACCTGGTAGATTCCAATTATCCTTCCAAAGTTGTAAACACCCTTTGTTATGTAAATTACAAGCACACCTGTTAGAACCTACTGTCCTTCCAGAGTTGAAAATAAGTATGACCTGTTGATCACCTTTATGACAGTTATCACAATGCACACCGTTTCTTCCCATGATTCCATGCACACTTCCATTTACAGGGTTTGAGGTAATATGACAAAAATATGAAATAAAGGATGCTGACACACATTATGAACAGATTTGAGCGTAAAACTAATGAGGTCTGCGCAAAGTAACAGTCCATCTATGTACCAAGTTTTATTGAAATGCGATTAGAACCAAAAAATTATGAATTATTATGCTAATTAGAAATTAATATGAACAGATTTTAACCCCAAACTAATCAGGTTTGTACATTTTCCTAGAGCATCTTTGTACTAAGTTTCATTGAAATAGAATAATTAGTACTTTAGATATCAGTGTGATAACTTAGAATTGATTAATTATGCAAATTAAGTAATTAATATCTACAGATTTTAACCCACAGTTAATCAGGTCTGTCTATTGTCCTACAGCATCCATGTAGAAAGTTTTATTGAAATGTGATGATCAGTACTTGAGATATCAGTGTGAAAGTTGAACATTGATAATTAAGCAAATTAGGTAATTAATATACATAAATATTTACCGAAAACTAATTGGGTCCCTGCATAGTTCTAGATTCATTGAAATGTGATGATTAGTACTTGAGATATCAGTGGAAAAGCTGAAAATTAATTAATTAATTATGCAAATTAGGTAATTAATATGCACAATTATTTACCCTGAAACTAATCAGGTCTCTGCATGGTCCTTGAGTATCTATGTACCAAGTTTCATTAGAATGTAATGCTTACAACTTGAAATATCAAAAGCTGAAAATTAATTAATTAGGTAATTAATATGTACTGATATTACCCTGAAAACTATCAGGTCTGTGCAGTGTCCTAGACATCTATGTACGAAGATTATTGCTCTACAGTCAAAGTCGCCATCTTTGTTTATATTAGACCCATATATCTCGGGCATATGTGGCACGACTACTGCCCGTTAATATATTGACATAGAAACGTAAAGGCCTCCTGTGACCTTTGTGCCGCAAAGCAGTTTACAGTCTACAGAGCAGGCACATGTTTGTTTGGCGTTTTCGTCACTCTTATTTCCATGGGTATACATAGGTTTTAGTCACAGTTTTAAAATAAACTGGCTGTCAGGTGTTCGTATGATTTTTAACGGCAACTAAAACGAAAAGGTGAATTTAGACTAAACATATAGACCAACGCATACACACCTCTATACATTGCTGCAGTTTAGCAGCTCTTATTGGCCGCTTAAGCTATTTTGATATTACGTTGCGGCCATATAGCTGCAGATCGCGTCCATTGAGAACCGCACAGTTCGCCGCCCCGGGATCCCGGGGCGCACGCTATTTTTGATGTTATCGAACGATTTCAATGAAATTTAAAACGAATAAAAGTTATCCTTGCAAACACAAACATCTTAGTATCTACTGACCGAAAATGAAGGACTATTTCTTCTTGAAAAGTATATATTTCTGTGTATAATTAGACCGAACGTAATTTAATCGATTGAACGACGGATTTCAAGATGACCTCTGTCATGTGACCTGATGACGTGACATGACGAATCATGCGCAGTTGACATTTTAACTGAAA